TCCCTTCCTTCGTGTTTTTTTTCCGCCTTTTTTTTTTTTTTTTTTGGCAGGAATATGCTTACATTTCCAGCATATGGTTATTCAAATGTGGGGCTCCAGTGCAGTTCCAGTCTGTGGATCAGTCTTGCCTAGACCTCATTACACTTCCAAATCTGTAGTGTTTTCTTCCGTAGAAAACTTTCTTACTGTTCTCCCTCTCTTCTGGGAAGCAGCACTAGCACTATCTAGCCACAAAGATGGTGAAGTGTTTACTTAAGCAGGCAAGCTACTTCTTGCTGAGCAGATTCTGATAAAATTCATAGGACTTTGTTAAATGTTGCCAGCAGAGTCAGTGAGAAGTAGTTGTTTTGTCTAAAACTGTTTTAGAATGAACCATCTCTAATGCCTTAGACTGCATTTCTACTATCCACATTCTTAAACATTACAGACAGTATTTTAAAAAAAAAAAAAAAAACTGCATACACATAGGTCTATAGTTTTGAAATTTTCTGTGAAGTAACTTTGCTGTTTAGATTATGTCCATCATAGAATGGTATGTACATGGATGAAAAACTGCTTTTTAGAGAGATTCACATCTTGACTCTCTTGCTGCCAAAGACTGCTCGTGATTTTTTTTCTCTCTCTCTGTTCTATAAAGACTCTTATGAGAAAGTTAATTTTGGGAGGAAAATGGAAACTTCTGAGTAGATTGGGTTGTGATTGACTAATAGAGAGGAAGCTAAAAGAGTCTTTCCCTGAAAGTGCCTTTATTCTTCAGATGTATACTATCGTTTTCCTGTTTTTAGAGTCATATTAAAACATGCGTAAAAACATGGTGATAGGAACCTGTAGGAAAACTGTCAGTGCTTTACCTTTAAGTATGTGTTACATGTTTATGTTTCCTTTGGGTGTGTCTTTTTCCAACTTAAGAACTGAATGTGTTGCGAAAGCAGATATAGTGAAAATGAGCACGAGAAGTCTCATTTCCTTTGGTGAACAAAGTTCACAGTTAGGTGAGTTTTGTGCACGTTGTACCCTATCAAACAGTTTTGCTGACTACAGTTTGCAGCTTGGATTTGTCATAACTGATAAAAAAATCTCTGATGTCAGACAGGCATTTTAGCTACACAGAAAAAGGGAGAAGAGTCAAACAAATATAAAATTCTGGACGTTATTGCTTCCAACAATTAATGGTGAAATTCGTTTTATGAAGCACTGTTTACAGACTGACATCTGGAGAAATTCTCAACCTGGATCATTTCCAGTCTGTAGATTTATGTACTACTCCTGTTTTCCCTGCTCCCTTCTTTTTTTTCCCTTAAATATTTCCCTTTTCCTGCTTCGTACCATTCACTTAAATAATTATCAGTGATTGTGAATGATTATACTGTTGTGATTTTCATGAGACTCCAGATGGATAAAAATTGCAAATGCTTGCTAAAAGGGACACCCAATAGATACCTTTTAATATGGAGACAGAGATGTACTAGAATCTAGAGTGAATTCTCAGTTAAAATTCTGTTAGTCCCTGAGTCTGTTTGCTCTCAGTAGAACTTCAGCAGCATGAAGCTGAAAAAAATAGAGTTCTAAATGAAATGAGTTCCTTTCATTCTAGTTTTTTGAATTATAAAATATTTTTGAATTGTAAAGTCTCAACTAAATAATGTGGTTTAAATGTTGTATTCACAGGTGTATATTTGTGCCTTATTTTCCCCTTCTTCACGCTTTCTCCAGAACAGGACAATTCCCTTGTGTACACAACACCTCCTTTCCTCTGGGGACTCAAAGCAGTTGCCAGTGCTGTCCATCCTGAGGATGGGTTACTGTGCCCCTTGAAGTATGAAAGGGGAATTTACTATTGATTTCAGTAGTAGCAGTTGATATTCCTTGTATTTCTGTGTATAGTTCATTATGTAAACATGGGGGTCCAGGTCATCCTGCCTCGCTCTAAACATCTGGGTAATATAAGGAATATAGTCCGGCAGATTCTAATTGCGGTTACAAAAAAAATAGTGGGATGGGAAGAGGAGGACAGAAAAATCATGGTCTTAAAGATCTTCATCATACATACGTGGTATCCTAAAAACAATAAAATTATCACTGTTATATTTCTTTCTTATCTGCTAGTTCATTGAAATAATTACTGCAGCAAGGGTCCCAGTGAAATCTAGCCCCACTGAGAATACTGCTGTCAGAATATTGAATGTATTTATGGAACAAAAGTGTTAAAAAATCAGGTGCACCAGGTATTAGTGTTAGCAGAAGTAGCTACTATTCAAAATATTGAAAGTACTGCTGATACTAATGCTCCGTATAGTCTGTCTGTGCTCTCTTTGTATGCTATGTAGTCTGTTGTTGGTAAAATTTCAATTCTCAATATCGGGAAAATAATGTTGTGCAGAAGGTTAATTTTGCTTTTAGTTTTGGTATGTTCTGATCGTGTTAGTTGACAGGTAAATCTTAACAAATTTCTGACATCAAATTTGAGAGCAGGAAATCGTGCATCCTTTCAGAAAGTAGTGTGGTATATGTAAGGGCAAACAGACCTTTTCCAAACCTTACTCAGTTACTGTCAACATGAAAAGCCGGTAGTTCTTAAGGCTGCGTAAGTTAGGAATTTCAGGTTTCAGAGTAATTCTTGTAAAAGTTTTTATTTGTATGCAGAAATTTATCACATGTTAATAGACTAAGTGAATTTTCACTAGTAATGATATCAAATGTTATAAAATGTTTTAAAATATGATACTATTCTTATTAGGTCTTTTGTGTGAGAGACCTTAATGTGCCTGATGTTTACAGGTTTCTGTTTTACACGATAGATTTTATCTGAAAAGAAAAGAATGATGAATATCTAAATCGAATTTTAAAGCAATGGTTTCTATTTTAGCAGATATCATAGTTTACATTTTAGTCACAATTTGCAAGTGGGAACAGAAATATTAGTTTGTTATTATTTATTTTCATTTAGAGTGTATGTACATTTACAGTGTCAGGCACTACTCCAGTATTAATGTATTTTATCAGGAAGATATTATCTGCATTATCCTAATTATCCACTCCATAGTGGGTACCCTAAATGCCTGAAATTGTGGTGGATTGTCTCACTGTGTACATTGTTGACGCATTTACTCCTAATCTTCTTTCTAATTAAACTGCTTGCTTTAAGTTAAACGTGAACCCATGATATATCCTAAATTGTCTGACAGAGTTTGTCTATCAGTAGCTTGACCATCTGTTTTCCCTAGAAATGAAAAATGCTGTATCAGTTCTTCAGATGATAGAAATAAAAGTGGTTCATTACTGTAGTCTGTTGTGCATTGTCTTACCAGAGTTTCTGAAAACACCGAAGAAAATGCAGCTTTCCTTCTTGAGAATGCAACAGGCTGCCCAATATTGTTGGGATGATACCTTTTATTTTAACAAAAGTTGTATCGTTTTAATTTCTGCGGTTAGAATAGTCTGTTTTGCTGAAAATTGGGTACCCAAGTCATAGGGACTGGAATTGAGCACTTATTTTAAAAATAGAACAGTAAAGCAGAAAAGCCTGTGTTTTCTTCCACTGGGAGTTGATTTACAGTTTATAAGGACATAATTTCAGAAGACAGTAAATAAAGGGATTTGTTGCTTGCTAGTGATAATCCTGGGAGGACTGGAGACTAAGATGTAAACTTAGCTCTTGGGCCAACAAAATGTTTAAATAAGAGCTAAATTTGAAAGCAGGTGAATGTTTGCTCGCAGTTGGGCATGGAGCTTTTTATGCACTTTATTGGGATTTTGATCAAGTGCTAATCTAAAACTGCTGAGCAAAGTTCCAGGCTGTAATAAGGGCTCCTAAGAATATTTAAACAAAGATGAAGAAATACAAACTAATTGACAAATGCGTTCAGGAAAACATGGTCTTCAAGCTGGGCTGGCAAGCTATTCCTTCCTTTGAAATCCATGTAGATCTGACAAAAACCTCTTATATTGCCATTCTCTGAAAAGATCACAACTGTGGCAAACTAAGGACTTGGCCTATATGCTGTATTGTCAGCGACGTACTCATCGTAAGGTCACGTTTCTGTGGTGGAAGAGTTGCAGTTTCTCTGGAGTGCTGATCACAGCTGGTTTGCCACAAATTCACATCATCCATTGCAAACCACTGCAGCTGTCTTCTGCTGATAGTAGTACTGGACTGTGCCTTTCTTCAGTTCTTAGAAATAATCATTTAAACATCTTTGAAGAGAAAGCTTTGCATCATTGTGCTCTGTGTGAGTTGCTCAGAAGGTAATATTGCAAAATATGAAGAAACAGTAATTTCATATATTCTAAGATCACATGGAGAATAAAAGCACTATCAATGCAGTGTGTAACTGAACAGTGAGAGTATCCTTGTGTTTCCATATCTGTCACTAATTAAAAAAAATGTGTTTAATAGCCTATCCAAAAAAATCTCCATATGTCATTCTCTATGGCAAGCTAACAGTCTTCATAAGCTTTGTGGACTTTGTAAAGTTATTTCATTCACATTTAATTATTTTTATTACAAAATTAGCTCCCAGTGATCTGATTTTTTACACAGATCAAATTATTTCCAGCTTGTAAATTCAACACTGATTGAACAAATTCAGCAATCGGTTTTGCATACTTTGTAGGTTTCATACATTCAGACTCCTTTTTTTTTCCTTTTTTTTAAAAAAAAAAAAAAAAAATTAAGTAGTAGAGAGAAGTCATTAAGGCATAATCAGTAATCTAAATAATAGTTATAGTTATCCCTCACAGAATTTTTTTGTCAAGTTTGAAATAAAGGCTTTGGTAGTTTTATACATTTTCAGAATTTCGTACCAGTTAATTTATCATCTCTTTTCCTTTCTCATGCACTGATGAACTTGTATTGTTACATAAACACCATTATGTTCTTGCATTTCAACCAGGTGGCTGTGCTACAATCCCAGAGTCGGACTTAGAAGAAGGAACAGTTGTACCAGGCACCGGAGCAACGTTTACCAATCACAAGCACATCACAAAGCAGAAATCCAAGCCTGGTAAGTGAAGAAAATTACTTTGTTGTACTTCAGATGCACAAAGCATTTTTATCTTTTTTTTTGCTGAATGTTTGTGGATACATGAAACAAAGGACATGTGTATTTTGCTAGGAGAATTTTCATTTTTTTGTGGTTTAATAGCATAATGTGTAAGATTCCGAGATTTTTCTACTTACTTTTAGCAAGTATAGTTGAATTCCATGCCCAATCTCTACATTTAAACACTTTATTGTTGAAAGTCTTTGTGCTACTTAATATTTGAACGAGATACTTGAAGATGTTATTCCCAAATTCTTTGTGGGGAGGAGAAATGGAACTAAGGACATTTTAGTGTAATAAGTTATTTTTTTCCTGCGTTAAGGAGGGTTTACTTAGTGCCAGTTGGTTAAAATATGGTTATTACTTATCTTTTGTGGGAAGACTTCCTAGAATTTCAGACAAATATTATTGGATATAATAAAACAGAATTATACTGGTTATAAAATATGCTCCATACAGTGATGACACATTTTCTGGAAAGACTTCATGCTGCTGGGAACTGTGATATAGTGTTAACATATTTTAAAAGCAGTGAAGTAGTACACTGCAGTTTAATAAAGTGCTTGCTTAATAAAGCTCTCGGGCTATTATTACAGCTATTTCCCATTCTGTTTACTAAGTTTCACCTTCACCCTTTCTTTCCCTCATTGTGTGTTATGTCCTTATGATTTTTGTGTAATACTAGATTTTAAAGTAGTTGAGTATTGCTACTAAAGCAGGTGTTTTCCTTGTAGATGGGCGTTGAGGTTATGTTAAGAATAGAAAGAGCATACAGGCTGCAGTCAACAGTAATCAGGAACAGACAGAAAGTCTGGATGCGTCAGCTAATTACATGTGTAAAATGCATCCAACTGCTTGTTTGCCCAGCTAACTTTTTGCACAGACAGTTGTGCATTTGTAATATATATTTAATTGCAATGGCAGGATTTACATTAGTGAATTTTTAATAGTAGGCAGGCAAGAAACATATAATGCAGCATCGTATAGCAATACCACAATGTAACTTTAAACTTCAAAATGAATATCTGCTCACAGAAAACAGCACCAAAAATATAGGAGGCCAAGAGCTCTGATTTTTTTCAGACTACTAATTATCTGCTGTTGCTATGGACTTCAGGTCATATGAAGGGAAGCTGTCAGCTTTGACATACATATGGTTTAATTTTTGCAATGTGGGTATATTGAATGCTCTCATTGTCATGGCAAGAGATATCTGTTCTGTGTGGTGTAGGATACAATCGTGATAACATTCCATCTTCAGGTGACTGAATGGATCAAGAACATCCTGTAGTTGGTCCTTCTTTGTCTGCTGCTCCACTATTCTGATCAAGCAGATGGTGTGGAAATTTAAGAAGAGTATGTTTTAGTCTTTTTCAGTAGATAATGTTCTCCTGTATTTAAATAAGCTCATTGCTGAAAAGACTAGCATAAGAGGAAAGGTTTAGAAGAACAGCACAAAATATCCACGAAATCCAGAAACAGCACCGTGGGGACAAGCGTATCCTTCTGCAAGTCAGGCCATGATGAAAATTGAGATGTGCATTGTGTAGTTTGGCTGTTGATGCTTTGCAACTTTCTGTAAGAGGCAAAATGAAAATTCTGAGAGCTTTAAATTAGTCTTTAGGTTTACAGCTACATATTAGAGCAGTGAATTTAATTCATTCGCGGTAAGAATTGGCTGCCATCTGCCAGTTAATGCTGCAATATAGAGAAAGCTTAGAATATCTGCCGCTGAGCTGTCTGGAAATTCTAATTGCTACAAGTGTAAGAGCCAAGGGAGCTACTTAAACCATAAGGTAACACTAGGAATGAAATCACAGCCTTGCAATGTTTTTCTGAACATGATTTTTTTGGCCTGACTTCTTGCTCACTTACCAGAGACTGGAGCAAGACCACGATGGTTGAGTTGAGCCCTCAAAGAACATTTGTTTTGCCTTAAATATCTTTTCTGAGTTTTTCGTAGGGCTATATCAGCTGAACTGATAGTCATGCAAAACCTTCTCAATGTTCTTTACAAAGCCTCTCCAGTTTATAAACAGAATTTAATGATAGAGCTTGTAAGACCAGATACAAAGCCGAAGAGAAAAAAAACAGGGTCTCTTCAGCTGTAGCTGTGTAAGGATGGGCTAGTGTGTCTGAAAGTGCAAATCAAAACAATAAAATGAACTGACTGAATCAAACTAGTCCAGAGAAATCTGTAGGTCACGGGGAGAACATCTGAATCCAGTGGACTACCGTCCATTGAAATTGAAACTGAGTGAGAAGTGTAGCTACATACTTGCTCCATCTGCTGCCAGACAAAATCTTAGCACCAGGATTTTGTGCAGGTTAAAGTCTATTAATAGTTAGACACAGTTTAGTCCAAAAAGGAGTAATGAAGATGTGTCAGTGGGAGCACACAGATTTCTGCTTCAGAAATAATGGTAAACGCTGCTCTCTGCTACTGATACAGCAGGTAGATTAGAACAAAGCTGAAGCTGCTCTCCGCAGAGTAACTGCAGAATCAGGAGGGGAAAAATAAAAAAAATAATAAAACAAGAACAAAATGACTTATTAGAAAAGATTAAAGATTGTGGTTTAACTTTGCAAAGGTTTCGAGAACAAAATGACTTATTAGAAAAGATTGTGTTTTAACTTTGCAAAGGTTTCAGTAGGAAATGGTGGGAATTGCTTATTTAGAAAGGAAGAAGCAAGAGTTTTCTCTGAGGTGCTGTAGTCAAATGCGCTTCGTTATAGGTAAGTTGTTTGCAAAAGTAAATCTGATGAAGATAAGTGCTATCAAGAAAGCTAGATGATGGAGAAAAAATGTATTTAGGAAGAAGCCTCCAGAGCAGGAAGAGTCTTGAATTCTGTGCCAGACTGACAGCTCCTGATAAGTATGTTACTATTACAGCTACAATAGACTAAATTCAGCTAATCTTTAACTAACTCCAGTAATACTCGTGGTTTGCTCATGATAATGTGGCATTGAACGCTGGCTATAGAATTTACCAAGATCAAAATAAATACTCAACAGTTAATTCATGTGGAACTCCCACTGCTAATAAATATCAGAGCTTGCTAATCTCTTGCTAATGAGATGTCATGTATAGAGTGTGTAGTGTCCAGTGTCAGTCATTGCACTGTAGGCTCGTATGCCCTTTGGCCAGGTTGAGAATTTTTAAAATTCTTTTGAATTTCATGAAACCCTGGGAAAGAGATTACTGCTTTAAAGGTTCTGTGTGAGTTATTCGAGAACTCTGAGGGAAATGAGGGATGGAGACCTGGAAGACCATGCTGTGTTATGAGGAAATATGCTGACTTTGATCTTGCTGTTTCGGTAAAGTGAGGACAGAGCAGCACAGATTCCATTGTGGGCGGCACAAGCCTCGCAGAGAGTTTGAATATAATTTGAAGTTCTGCATCCACTTTGAAGTCTCTGCAGCTACATCCCTGTTTTTTCACTGAGCTTACAAATGTAATGCGAATGCAGATGTGCCAACCTCTGCTGCAATCACAGGTGCATATGCAGTTATTGCAGAATCTCCCCTCTGCAGGTCCTCTGGATTTCCTTTCTTGGTTACGCTGTTCCCACTGTCTTCCATTTTCTTCCTTAAAAGTTAATACATTTCTCACTGAAGTCACAGTTATGCTTGAGAATTACTTGGTTTCATGGAAAAGATTTCATATATTCTCTAAAATAACAGCTAAGTGGAGTTTTTTGAGTCTCAGTTCTCAAGTTCTACCTTACTCTTAAATATTTCTGCTGCAGTTTATAACAAATAAAAGTAGGGAAGTTCATGTAAATGGCAACTTTTTAGAGCATCACTCCAGTGAGATGAATAATTACTTCAATAACTTTTGCCTGAACAATTGAACTGTGGTAGATGAGCTTTAGGATGAAATAAAACTAGTGTGTTTATCAGGATACAGCCCTAAAAATAGGTACTCTTTGTTCCTTGTATGGCACTGCTGCATGCTGCATTATTAAAAGAGAATTTCCTAAACTTTTTTTTTTTTTTTCTAACTGCTCAACATTTCGGTTAGGGAATGTCTGGTTGCTCTTTTATGAGCAGAGACACCTTTGCTCTGGTGAATTAAGTAGATAGAAAAACAGGGGAAAAGCTAATATAAATTAGAGGACAATTAGGCTGTAAGATGTATTTTTATTTCTCAGTGTAACCATGATATAGCTTAGTTTTTCCTTATTCACTCAGCTCGACACTGTGACAACACTGGGAGTAAGATCTGTCAAATTTCATGTCATGCAGCTATTAGAATTTTCATGCCAGGACTTTTCATTAAAGATAAATAAGCTGTCCTGTAAATAATCTAGTCAGACAAACAAGCAAAAAAAGTCTTAAATTTTTAGGAAAATGTTTACTTGACTTCACAATGATAGTTCAGAATAACCATCCTCTATTCTCGAGAGAGCAAGAGGAGACCGCATGGGCCAGTATTTATTATTTAAATACAAATATTTCACAGAAGCTATTGACACGAGCAGAAATTACTTTCAACGTGAATTAAGGTAATACAAGGAAACCATATTTCTATCCAAAGTTTTGGCATTTGCACTTGCTACTGTGCTGCAACTATTTTTAGTTAAGCTCTTTGTATTTTAGTGTCATGCAAATATTTGGATGACTGAAGAATTAAATTTCAAAGTTCTCATCTAGCATGCTTATATTTAGTAGAATAAATATACTTTCATAGTTTAATACTCTTTGTATCTAAGAACAAAACCTATTTCAATGCTTATAGTGATGTATTGGAGTAGATTTTTAATTCTTCTTTAATTTGAAGCATCTGGCTTGTTACTTTGTGTTAAACACAGACAACTGTACAGCAATAATTGTTAGGCTGAGCTATAAAGTCTGGTAAAACAAGATATTCTGAGTCAAATTATCCCAACAGCCTTCAAAATTGCACCCAGGCATTACACTTTTTCCTGCAAGCTTCATTTTTGTTTTTTTTATGGA